GGACTTCTGGGACACTGATACCAACCCCACGCCTTCTCCTGCGAGCCCATCGTCTTCCCTTCATTGGCGTAACTTGCTCAGTTCGCTGCCTTTCAGTACTCGACATGCAAACGCGCCACAATCAATACCGCTCGAGTCCCGACGTTGGAATTTCAACTTATTTCCAAGAGGAAGTTCTATACGCACCGTTGAAGTAGCTGCCGGTCGCAAGACAAATGTGGGTAGCTTTCATTGCTCCTCGTTGATATCATGAAGATTGATATATTTGCAGAGAATTTATGTTTCCCCTCCCAGCGCAGCAGAATTGGCCCGTGCAGAAGCGGCGGCGGCGGCAGCAGCTGCTCAACGTACGAATGGCAATGAGGCTGGAAGTTCGATGCAAGTAGGTCAACCTCAGGTCGTGTCAGGGACACAGGTGTCTCAAGGAAGCCCGGCGGAAACGCAACCAGGTCCATCTATTATTGTGCCAGGGACACAATTGTCCCAAGGGCAGCCAACAGGAACGCAAGGTGCAAGTGGTGGGATGGGAGTTTCTTGTGAAGTTAGGTGTTGTGGATTGTTTCTTAGTTGTGGTGGTCCTTCCGCGCATCAGTCATGAGATCATCTATAAACTGGTTGCTTCGATGTTTTTCTCTTGATTTTGAGAGCTTTGCAAATTGTTTCGCACCTGGCTGTACCCGTTTAATTTTACTTGTCCGTGTAGATGAAAGCCATACACCTTCTCATGTTTCTAATATCATCACTGTTTCCAATTGAGTGTGCGCCTGGCAGTACACCTCATACTCTGGACTCTGAACCCACGAAAGACTTTGAAGTTCGAGTGTCCTCAGAAGAGAGTTCTCTATCAGCAGGTATAGTATAATCTCCCTGAAACGAAAGAACTTATAAATAAACACTGTCAGGGTGCTGTTAACTTTAAATTTGTCTCAGACTCCCACGCTGCCTACGCACCGCAAAGTTACTCAGTTTGCACCAACCTGACATGCTGGGTTTCCGGACTACGTGTACGAGAATATCTTAGGCAACTGAACCGGTGACGAGAAAATCGGCAAACTCGTGTTGGGGAACCAGGCTGGTGAGTCAAGCTTGCATCAATTCACCATCTGCTCTATCATCGCACCACTCGAATCCGCTTCTCTTCACATCTTATCGCTCCATCAACCTTCACATGATCCCATATCGAACCGAAATTCCCCTTGTAGGTCCTCATGGAAGCTTCGACCATTAACACGTACAACGACCTGCTGCACACAGCCATCACCTCGAGGACTGCTCCACTCCTTCTATCACAACTTCGTACCTTGCCTTGGCGATCTGGATCAGGAAATCAAATTTAGTCTGGGGACCCTGGGGTATGTAGAGTCCGGCATTTTCCTACTATTCACTAATCCTAATCGAAAGAACTCGACCATATTCTCCTCTTCGTTTCCGGTATTGATACACTTACAACAGGCCAAAGTTACATGGTTGCGACTTTGTGGGTCTCATTGTTGAGGAGTTGCCAACCGAATCGCAACCCCGTCATCTTTTGGCCCCTCAATAAATCACTAGCAAGCATAATGATCAACCTCGTCGCTGGGTCTGACTCTCATAACGCGGTGAGCCCAAATTGTGCTTCCTCCAAGTCATTTAGTTAAGTCATACATATGATAGAGTCCACTCCACACCCTACGTTAGCAATATCAATCCTTGGGGGTATGTCAATTGCATCGCTCGGACCAGTCGAATATGTTCTCACTGGGGTTTAGTTGATAAAAGGATCACAGCGGGCCACACTGTCGGTTCGTTCAGTGTGTAAACTACAGCATGTGACGATGACCACTTAGCAGGTGACTTGATTGCCTTCACCATCTCTAACGTTTCTCCTTGCTAGACTGGGAGGTGCGCAACTGCCACTTGGTCTCGAATCAAACTTAAATAAGCGAGTGACTCAGGCGTTGACGTCATCTAGCACTAATTCATACAGACACGCATGGAATTAGCTTGACGCTCACTGACGAAATTTGTGAATGCACAGCAATGTATAAAACTTCCCCGACATGCGGGCGAAAAAAATGCGCCTACAAGTATAGTATGTACAGTTAACTATCTAGCAGGTCTCTTCATTACTTCCACATCCTCGACAATTCATTTTCCGTACTACCAAGCTCTCTCAACGCGTCTGCACAGACAGCAGTAATTAGAAACTTTTCTTCGTCAGCGTCATGGACGCGTCAAACGCATCAACGAAACAGAGAGATGGGGAACGAGCGTTGTTGAACTCACCGCTGGTTAGTGCACCTCCGAGTCGTCGGACGAAGGAGAAGGATCCACCACCCTATGGTGCACAGCATCGCCAGACTGCACTTTGGGAAGGTGAGTAGCTGCGTTGTGATACTCACTGACTTACTCGACGAGCAGCAGGCGGTAATGAAGTGCTTCCTCCTCAATGGCAGCAGTATAAGTTACTGGATGACAAAATAACATATCAAGATATAACACTCGCCACGACTTCAGGGAACCGACCTCTACCAGGAGTGCGAATGGGTGAGCGAAGAATGTCCCACTAGCAACGAGGAACTAATGGTGAAACATAGACCATCTTGGACAACTCATTCCCGGATGCGAATGGCACATCTCACCGCTCGGTCGGTCCTACTTCGTCAATCACAATACCAAGACCACGTCGTGGAAGAAACCAGTGCCTGAGCATCCACCAGAGAGCTTGACGCCAGAGTGCATCATTGAGGGTCATTCCGAAGTCATTTGGGGTCTCGTCCGTTTGGGTACCAGTTCCAATATACTGAGCGCGTCAGGTGATGGTTCAATTCGTCAGTGGACAAGAGACGGAGAGCCATTGGAGAGGCCTTGGACTAGTGACGGAGGGGCGGTACGCTCAATCGCAATATCTCCAGATGAGTCAATGCTCGTGAGCGGAAGCACAGATGGCAAGCTACGGCTGTGGAACATCAGGAAGGGCAGCGTGGTCGGCGACCCGTGGGAGGGGCATGAGGGTGCAGTGTGGTGCATCGAATGGTCTCCCAATGCCCGGGAGATAGCAAGTGGATCACCAGATGGCACCATACGACGCTGGGACCCAGATACTGGTCGACCAATAGCACCACCGATAGAGACCGGTCATGGGTGGGTTTGCGCTGTCAGATACTCTCCCCAAGGGGACAAATTCACGAGCGGCGGAAACGACAAAGTGATCCGTATGTGGTCAAAGGACGGCGAGCTGCTTATGGAGATCGAGGGCCATGACAGTGTGGTGTCATCGTTGTGTTGGTCCAAGGACGGCGCACACATTTTCTCAGCGTCCGTCGATCGCACCATTCGAAAATGGCGGTCGATTGATGGGAGAGAGCTCGTTGTTTTTCAGGGTCATACCGATCCCATCATCTCCCTTTGTCTTTCTCCTGACGAAAGCCATCTTATTAGTGCATCAGTTGACCATTCAGTTCGCATCTGGGACCCCAAGACCAACCAGCCAGTCGGAGACCCGCTCTTGCACGACGACGAAGTTTGGGCTGTCGTCATTTCTGCTGATGGAATATATCATTAGTGGTGGATCAGACGCAAAGATATATGTATGGAACCTGGAGGCAGCGCTCAAACATGCAGGCGATGATCATGTATGTGTTTATTCTTTGTCAGTATCTGTTCTAAGTGGGGTTTGGTTGTAATTCAGCTTGCGATTGAAGCAAAACCCGATGCGAAGCTCAAGGCAAATCGTCTGCGTTTCTCTTTCTTATTGTATCTTACTTGTTTACCAGGGACGTCCAGTTCGATCGATAGATACTGTGCGCCAATCAGTTGTCAACACCCTCCTCGTTTACTTATTCGTCTCATCAGATCTTGCGCACTGGTCAGGTCTCCAAGAAGCAGCCCATCAACAGAGGCTTGACGAAATATGTTAGTATAATATTTCTTTTTCTGGCTCTCCTAAATTTGACACTGGTACAGGGCAACGACTTCTGGGACGCTGATATCACCATTGAACCCCATCCCGCAGCTCCTCCTGTGAGCCCTTTGTCTTCCCTTCGTTGGCGCAATTTGCTCGGTTCGCTGCGTTTCAGCACTCAACCTCCGAACGCGCTACAATCAATCCCGCTGCAGCCCCGGCGTTGTAATTTCAACTCATTTTCAGGAGGAAGCTCTATACGCACCGTTGAAGTAGCTGCCGGTCGCAAGAAAAATGTGAGTGTCCATCGCCCCTTTTTGATGTCATGGAAATTAATACATTTGCAGAGAATTTATGTTTCCCCTCCCAGCGCAGCAGAATTGGCCCGCGCAAAAGCGGCAGCAGTTGCTGCTGCTGCGCAACATACGAATGATAACGAGGCTGGCAGTTCGACGCAAGCAGGTCAACCTCAGGCTGTGTCGGGGACACAAGTGTCTCAAGGACGCCCGATGGAAACGCAAGGTGCAGGTGGTGGGACGGAAGATGTTTTTTATGAAGGAGTGAGCTGCTGCGGATTTTTCTTTGGTCGTCGTCGTCCCACCTCGCATCAGTCATGAGGTTATCTACTAAACTCTCTGTTGCTTGATAATCATATTCTGTAGTAATTTGGTATTTTTGTTAATATGCGACGAAGCTGTCCTGTCTTCGATCAAGATTCTAAACTGACTAGAACCAGAGTCCTGTACCCAAGCTAGATACGGGTGCCCACTTGCGAGCCTTCCGTTTGATAGTTCGCTTTGAACTGCATTTTTGCTAGTGTGGCAGCACGGTGGTGAATTTGAGAAGATCACGTCGGATCATGATAAGGTTAAAGACATGATAGACTCATCAGGTACTGTGGCTGTAGCTGTATGGAGTCTTCTAAAGATCTACCAGTGATTTTCGTTTGTACCTTGACGATCGGACTTCGATATTATCACATACTGACTTAGAGCAGACTTCTTATTGCACCATCCGCGTTCACAGGATCAATCCACGCATCTAAATAATATTATCGGCAGGTCGTTGGCACTCATCTACATAACATTTAGGGTAGCCGAGAAGCTAATCGCAGAAATCAACATGCGATGTAAGTTTTCTGGTCTGGACTTAGCAATCCCATCTCCCTCGCCATTATCTGTAACGCCATGAACTGGGAGTAGAACCGTGCAGCAAAGAGATCGCCCTCTGCAAACCAGAGTCCATTGTCTGGAGAAGAACGTCAGTATCACCGAGTCGCGCAATAAAGTCAACAGAATACTGACGTCCAGTCGGCCTCCAAATACCTGCGAACTCACAATCACTATCTAATCCTCCGAGGTCGTGGACGGTATCAGCGACCTGGGGCCCAAAAAGGTTCTCAGTGACTTCTTTGATTGTAGGTTTCGAGTACCTGTAAGTGATGCGTTAGAAGTGCGCGATCAGACGGATGGATATTTGAAAGACTTACCCAGTTGCGAAGATGACAAGGTCGGCCACTACTTGCGAACCATCATCGAATACCAACCCGGAAGGGGAGAAGTGGGAAATCTCATGCCCGGACTTGACGGTGATCTGGTTGCTAGTGAGCAACATGCGTGGGGAAACTCAGCAAAATTAATAATACCTTGCCAGACGTGATGAGCTTTGCACAACCCCGGTCGATGTAATAGCCACCTGGAATAACGGTGAGAAAAATAGAACGATACAGAAAAAACAAACTTACCTCGTCGAACATAGAGACGGTGAACAAAGTTGTCCTCAGGGCCGGGAAGGAGATATCCATGCTGGGACAAGTTCTCCCTGAGGTCCCTAAGGAAAAAGGGTGAGACGAAGGAATTACTTTTGAATGTTGCCAACGAACTGATCAATATGGGCATATATCTCCTTGGCGTTGTACTGGGGATTCTGTTGAGCTGACAAGGGGAGAGCGACATAGAAGCGGTCGGCGATCTCTGTCGGAGGAACGTCCTGCCCGACATATCCTACGAGCCAAATCAATATAGATATCTCCGAAGCAAGTACACTGAGATTACCGGTAAGCAGGCTGTCGATCGCCTGGCGACTCACAACGAGGGTCGAGGAACGCTGGACAAGCGCTGTCTGAGACCCATGAGTTGCCATGTCCTGAGCAATATCGTGCGCAGAGCATCCTGCGCCGATGACGGCGACTTTCTGCGCGCCGACGCAGGAGGGGGAGTTGTATTCGCTTGAATGGATGACAGAACCGAGGAAGGAGCTCTGCATACGGAGGGTCAGCATCGACAAACAATCCAGTCCTGCTTGCGTACTTTTCCTGGAATCGAAGGCATAAACGGGAGTGCACCTCCCATCGTGCCAACGCCTATTGCGACAATCATGTACCGGGCCGTCACGGTAATAGAGGCTTGCCCTGGAAGAGATACAGACAATGTCCAGGTACTTGACGAAGCATCATATGAAGCGGCAGAAATGCTTGCTGAGGTCAACACGTGAAGACCAAGAGTTCTTTGGTAATCTTCGAGATAGTCAGCAACGTCTCTGCAGGGGGTGTATTTTCCGGATCCCTCTGGGAATTCGACGAAGGGAAGATGATCTGCTGGCACGTTAGCATAGGACGAAGTTGGTTGTACTTCAGCTGCACGTACTGAACGCCTTCGGAGTATTCGTCTCCAGTGAATCGTATCGAAAACGCCAGCTATTACCAATTCTGCCAGACCTCTCCAAGACAAGTGTAGAGATCCCGAGATTCTCCAGACGGGCGGCCACGGATAAGCCGCACTGACCTGCACCCACGACGACCGCTGTGTACTCCATTGCAGTGTCCCACTCGGCAGGACCACAGAGAGGGGTGTGTGCATTAAAGCGATCGACCACGCCGGACAACCGATCCATCATGGTCACGAAGGACCAAGCCTTCCATGAGGAGTCCTCAGTTTGAGTCAGAGTAAAGACGCCAGAGCATTGCGCTATGACTGTATGGAATTGAATGATTCCCTGGATGAACGTCTTTGTAGGACTAATGCGCCGATGACGAACACCTGACAAGAGTCGGAACTGACTTGGCCGTGCAAGGGCAACGGGATCTGAAAAAAAATCCTGAATTTTTGAAACTGAGTGCAAGGTGCGAAAATCAGGAGTGAATGCCAAGACATCTCGCCAGTAGCTGTCGTTCGTAAACGAGTGCTTGAGAGTAAAACTGGGGCTGGATATGTCAGAAACAAATGCAGCGAGCCACGCGGAGGAGATAGCCTCTGATATATCCAACAATAAGTGGACTTGAACTGATTTTGAAAGGCAGGCTTACCTGCAGACAACGGAACAGAGAATGTTTCTACGCCAGACATATTTCCTGAATGGTCAACTGAAAGAGCTTGAGTTATGCAGTTGAGGTCGCAGAAAAGAGGCTTTTATACGTCTCGGGTCGCACAGGCTGTACCTACTTCCTTGGTTTGCAATTGAGCCAAGGTCTCATTCATGCCTCAATACCTGCCGCTGGAAACCTTAAATATCCATACCTCCGATTCACAAGGTGGTAGGACGTAATGGCCTTGACTTGCTAGATACCCGGCTAGCAGCTGCTGTCGGCTGTCCTTGATGCCTTCCTTTTGTGCTACTTTCGTAACGCCACAACTAGTCTGAGCTAGACATGTATCAGTAACGAGTGCTGACTCGAAGTGCTTGGATTTGATCTGCCTGCTAAGGTAGACGACAATGGGATCGACACAGTGTGCCTATACTTATAAGGAGTTGAGTCACGGTTACAGTTGCAAGGAGGTATACGCAAACAGGAGCCCATGGGCCATGGCGCATTTCGCGGCGTGCGACTGCAATATTTTTTTGCTATCCTAGTCGCCCCACCAGCCCGGATCAAATCTGAGGTGAATCAACTGTCAAAGTTCAGTCAGACGAGCTGCAAGGCCCTGTACATGCCAGTGATTTAAGCTTCAGAAGTTCAACCGCAGGCGTCCTTGTTATTTTGATGAAACAATTTGCTGCATTGATGCATTCACCGCAGTGGGGAGCAAAGCAATAGCAGTGCATTACAGCAATGTGACATCAGTCATCAACGTTTCAACATTCTCAAAAAAGGGAAGCTCGTACACGATTAACGATGCCTCCCAGTGGGCCAGTATAGGTCCACATCCTACATGCTCACCGCATCAGTAATGCATGAAACCATCAAAAAAAGGGAAACGTCGCACGGTCGTACACGGTCAACATGATGCACCAGCATGAAAAGCAAAGGGTGGTACAATTGCACCAATGATGCATCACTGGCGCACTACAGTTGTACTGTTTAATGCATCAATATGACACGAACCTGTGGTGGGTGCGTGAGCGCTACAGGTCGACTGTACATTAGCGACATGCAGTGATGACCTGGAGAGAACGGGCCCTAGGAAAATGCTGTGCCGCTAGTGCGACTGCTGCGGTGTTTGCCGCGACGCTCCAAACTTAAGCTTAACCGGTATACTACTATGCAGCTACAGAGCGCTCTGTAGCATTCTGTAGCACAATCCAACCCGCTGATAGGCTGCATCAGTGCCTTGAGGGACTTGACATGTTTCCATATCGATAGACCAGAATTTCGAAAATTCATTCAGCCGCTTTTGTTTGTTGTTGGAGCCACGCCAAACAGAGGCGCTCGCTACTACATAAGCTAAAGTTTGTCCGACTCCGAGTCGGTTGGAGTACTACTTAGTACAACAACTGCCGGCCATCATCATCATGAACGGAAACCATCGACATATACCAGCCTGATGCTGCCTCTGTTTTGTGTGGCTCCAACAACAAACAAAAGCGGCTGAATGAATTTTCGAAATTCTGGTCCAGCTGTAGTATAAACTCACGTGGTTACTATTATTGTCCTGCGAAGACTAATTTCTAGCGTTTCAACTCCCGAGTCCCCGGATTTCAGACTTCGGCTTTCTAGCTTCTCAGATGCATACGAAAATTCACCACTAAAGTATGTATTATAATTACAATGCGAGTCTGCAATTATACAACTTGAGTTTATCTCCAGCAAGTATAGCGTCGCAGCACCCCCCAAATATGGGAGACCGCCCCGGCGCCCGCGGTCGACTCATATACACACGTCGTCATCAATTTCCAGAAACTAAGGTACCTGCCTCCCCAAAGGACCCACTCAAACAAAGCGACGTTGCTGAGAACTGGCAAGATGGTTTTCGATCATAGCGTACGTGTCTTAACCTCAGAATCGTTGTTTCTAATGACTCAACTTGCACACGTCTTGCCACACGCCACGCTCATCAGTCAACTGCACACTTCCTATGACTGCGGAAAAAAACTCGTTCAAATCGGGAATGCCCCGGCAAAGTCACATCCATCCTCTACCGATTTCACTGTGGCATATGTTACCAGCACAATGGCGATCGTGACCATGCTCGCCCTACTCACATACTACACCCAACAAAAAGTCAGCATGCTCAGTTTGAGTCTATCGTGGCTGCAAATCCTCATGCCCGAGCTGTGGGACTGTACACAGGTGTTGCCGGACTGTCTGGATCTCAGTACTCAGTTGTCAGTCGCTGAAACATATTCTGTTCTCTACAGTGTTAACCGCATCAAGGTAGAGGTGTGATTATGACGAAATTGAGCTTGAGGTACTGACTTTTGAAACGGTCTAGTTAACAATCAGCTTAGCGCGGGACAACAGCAGCTATGTCGAGCAACGGACATCAGGACCTCGGAAGCGACAGGTAACAAAATCTTCATGGAGGACGAAGAACGCGAAGAAAGGTGGCACTGACCGCGTCGGGCTTCAGATAATGTCTGCAACTGCGCAGTCAACTAGTCACTCACTAAGAAGAAATAAAAATAACATTGTATGCGGAGGAATCGGACTACAATGCGATATGAACCATCATTTAGCAACGAGAAAGATATTTGTTGAAACAATATATGGGAGACCTGATTTGCAGACCGGCAGTACTTCGATGATATCGCCTGACCGTGACTCTGAGAGCATGGATATACATATACATATAAGGAATCGGAGCACACTCGAGTCCATGGTTCGTTTGGAGAACAAGCACCGGGAGGTTCCGGTGATTAGCAGTAAGTGTAGTTATGTAATGCGCACTCACCTACATTTGGGAGCACCGCATCAGTGGCGCAGCATTTTCACGATGCCCTGTATAGATTGTCTTGCCATATTCGAAAGTCATCGGGGCACCAAAGTATTCACCGTAGTTTGCGAGTTCATGTGTGAAACGTGCTGCTGCGATGGTGTCGCTGTAGACGACGGATGCACCACCGCCTGCAACCATTGTTCAGACACGACTAGTGGGTTTGAGGACGGTGGGAGAAGCACTGGTTGAAGCATCGAGAGTTTTATGCTATGTCCAATGAGTACGATACAATGACGATCGACGGAGTACGCACCCTCTTCCTTTGTGAAATCTTTACTAAATGGAGCGGGCCAAACAACAGGTGGACCACAATTAACGTTTACCTTAAAGCCAGTGGTAGGTGTAGCCGGAGCGGCCTCGTAGACTGTCAAGTCTCTTGCGACAGCCCACTTTGGACCGCAGATGCTCTCAGCTGTCTGGTTGAGCTTCGCAGCCATGTCAAGGTAGTGAATAGGACCATCAGCAACTTGAAGATGATCGAGGACGACCAGGGGTTTGATCTCGAGGTAAGCAGAGTGGAGAGCTACATAAACAGAGTAGAGTCTGACGAGGAAGTTGGTGAGAACTTCTTTCTTGTGTACTGGGACATCGTGGGGAGTCGTCTGGAGATCAGCGCGACTTGGAATTTCGAAAAGTACCAAGGACGGAGTTCAGTGCACAGCCACACTCGAACCATTCAAATCGGACAAAATATCATATACTGACTTGAGAGCAGACTTCTTATTGCACCTGGTAACCGCGTTCACAGTATCAATTCACTCTCATGGAAGCATATAAGTAATATTATTGGCAGGTCGTTGCAGGAGCCAGCTCCCAAGGACACCCCATGTACATAATAACTGAGTAACTGAGAAGCTAATCGCAGAAATCAACATGGGATGTAAGCTTTAGTGTTGTTGGCAAGACAGCCGAGTTTTGCCAACTGGTTGTGCCCGGTGATCGGCAAAACTCATGCAAAACGGGGGTGGCACAACTTGGCAAAACTCGCAGAGATGTAACTTAAATCTGATAAAATATACTTTAAAATTCAATAGAACATAAAAACCAACGTCCCTAAAGCAAGATGTTCTATGGTGGAGGACACCCACTTGCATCATTGATGAATATGGACAATTTCGAGCGCCTAGAACTCAAGGTTACACTTGGCATTCAAGTTGCAATGATTCGGATATAATGATAGCGAAAACACTTTCTGATAACCTGCATCCCTACATGAAATTCACATACTCAAGGCCTTTACTGCGATGATTCTCAATTCCAGAGTCATGCAGGCAAAGTAGGGCGCACATTCTCTGATCACAGAGTACACACTCAAGAGGTTGGCATTGCTGTCGAGAGTGCACAGGCTGTTGAAGTATCGTTTGCATGGACTGCTCTTCCTTGTGACACAGATGACATCCTGCCAGAGACTCAGTGAAGGAGTTGGGAACATTAACAAAGTTGAAGTGCTGGAGAAAAATGCTTTTGATTTCGATGAATTGATGTCTTCATCAGGAATGTCATACACATATATAGCCTAGAGTTTCGCCACCCTGGCAAAACAACCAGTTTTGCCGGTTGCAACCGGCAAAACTGACCGCAAGTAGTTTTGCCCCCCACACTAGACGTAAGTTCTCTGGTCTGGACTTAGCAATCCCATCTCCCTCGCCATTATCTGTAATGAAAGGAACCGGGAGTAGAACCGTGCAGCAAAGAGATCGCCCTCTGCAAACCAGAGTCCATCGTCTGGAGCAGAATGTCAGTATCACTGAGTCGCACAATCAAATCAACATGGTACTGACGTCCAGTCGGCCTCCAAATACCTGCGAACTCATAATCACTATCTAATCCTCCGAGGTCATGGACGGTATCAGCGATCTGAGGCCCAAAAAGGTTCGCAGCAACTTGTTTGACTGTAGGTTTCGAGTACCTGTAAATGATGCGTTAGAAGTGCGCGATCAGACGGATATATATTCGAAAGACTTACCCAGTTGCGAAGATGACAAGGTCGGCCACTACTTGCGAACCATCATCGAATACCAACCCGGAAGGGGAGAAGTGGGAAATCTCATGCCCGGACTTGACGGTGATCTGGTTGCTAGTGAGCAACATGCGTGGGGAAACTCAGCAAAATTAATAATACCTTGCCAGACGTGATGAGCTTTGCACAACCCCGGTCGATGTAAAAGCCACCTGGAATGCCGGTGAGAAAAACAGAATGATACAGAAAAAAAACTTACCTCGTCGAATAGAGAGACGGTGAAAGAAGTTGTCCTCAGGGCCGGGAAGGAGATATCCATGCTGGGACAAGTTCTCCCTGAGGTCCCTAAGGAAAAAGGGTGAGACGAAGAAATTTCTTTCGAATGTCGCCAACGAACTGATCGATATGGGCAATCATCTCCATGACATTGTACTGGGAATCTTGTAGAGCTGACAAGGGGAGAGCGACACATAAGCGGTCGGCGATCTCTGTCGGAGGAATATCCTGCCCGACATATCCTACGAGCTAAATCAATATAGATATCTCCGAAGCAAGTAAACTGAGATTACCGGTAAACAGTTTGTTGATCGTCTGGTAACTCACAACGGCGGTCGGGGAACGCTGGACAAGCACTGTCTGAGACCCATGATTTGCCACGTCCTGAGCAATATCGTGCGCAGAGCATCCTGCGCCGACGACAACGACTTTCTGCGCGCCGACGCAGGAGGGGGACTTGTATTCGCTTGAATGGATGACAGAACCGAGGAAGGAGGGCTGTACGCAGAGGGTCAGCGTCGATGGAAAATTAAGTCCTGTTTACGTACTTTTCCTGGAATCGAAGGCGTAAACGGGAGTGCACCTCCCATCGTGCCAACGCCTATTGCGACAATCATGTACCGGGCCGTCACAGTAATAGAGGCTTTCCCTGAAAGAGATATAGATAATGTCCAGGTGCTTGATGAAGCGTCATATGAAGTAGCAGAAATGCACGCCGAGGTCAACACGTGAAGACCCAGAGTTCTTTGGTAATTTTCAAGATAGTCAACGACGTCTCCGCAAGGGATATATGTTCCGGATCCCTCTGGGAAATCGATGAAGGGAAGATGACCTGCTGGTACATTAGCATAGGACGAGGTTGGTAGTTCTGAAGCTGCACGTACTGAACGCCTTCGGAGTATTCGTCTCCAGTGAATCGTATCGAGAACGCCAACTATCACCAATTCTGCCAGACCTCTCCAAGACAAGCGTAGAGATCCCGAGATTCTCCAAACGGGCGGCCACGGATAAGCCGCACTGACCTGCACCCACGACGACCGCTGTGTACTCCATTGCAGTGTCCCACTCGGCAGGACCACAGAGAGGGGTGTGTGCATTAAAGCGATCGACCACGCCAGACAACCGATCCATCATGGTCACGAAGGACCAAGCCTTCCATGAGGAGTCCTCGGTTTGAGTCAGAGTAAAGACGCCAGAGCATTGGGCTATGACTGTATGGAATTGAATGATTCCCTGGATGAACGTCTTTGTAGGACTGATGCGCCGATGACGGATACCTGGCAGGAGTCGGAACTGACTTGGCCGTGCAAGGGCAACGGGATCTGAGAAAAAATCCTGAATTTTTGAAACTAAGTGCAAGGTGCGAAAATCAGGAGTGAATGCCAAGACATCCCGCCAGTAGCTGTCGTTCGTAAACGAGCGCTTGAGAGTAAAAATGGGGCTGGATATGTCAGAAATAAATGCAGCAAGCCACGCGGAGGAGATAGCCTCTGATATATCCAACAATAAGTGGACTTGAACTGATTTTGAAAGGCAGGCTTACCTGCAGACAACGGAACAGAGAATGTTTCTACGCCAGACATATTTCCTGAATGGTCAACTGAAAGAGCTTGAGTTATGCAGTTGAGGTCGCAGAAAGGAGGCTTTTATACGTCTCGGGTCACACAGGCTATACCTACTTCCTCAACTTACATAGTTACCTCGGTACCTGAGCGCTAGCGCTGAGCTTACACACGAGCACAGATGCAGCCAAATAGATATGCACGAGCCCATTGTATTTTGGATTTGAAAAGCCTGTATATGTAAAGTGGCGTCATACATCACATATGAAGTTGCAAATGTCCAGTTCAAGTCTGGTTGGAGCAAATGCTTGTTGAACCTGAATATAGACCGGACACGTTTTGACGAGTACATTGGCGAAGTTTGCAATACCACCGATGATGAAGATCTTGTCATCAGGGCGAGGAGGTGGGCGCGTGAGCAAGTCGACTATATATAGATTAGCAAAATGTGATTGACGAGTTGAAATACGCACAGGTTGTCTTGGCATATTCGAAAGTTTAACCCTCGCTTGGGGCACCAGAGTATTCAGTAGTTTCCGAGTTCATGTGCGAAGCCTGCTGCTGCGATGGCATCACTTTAGACGACGGATGCACCACCACCTGCGACAATTGTCCAAACACGACCGTTAGGGTTGAGGACGGTGAACTTGAGAGAAGCACCGATCGAAGCATCGAGTTTTTGAGCGTATGCTATGTCAAATCAGTACGACACAATGATGATCGGCAGAGTACGTACCCTCTTCCTTTGTGAAATCTCTACTGAATGGAGTGGGCCAAACTATAGGTGGACCATTGTCAGCGTTTACCTTGGAGCCAGTGGTAGGTGTAGCCGGAGCGGTCTCGTAGACTGTCAAGTCTCTTGGGACAGCCCACTTTGGACCGCAGATGCCCTGGGCTGTCTGGTCGAGCTTCGCAGCCATGTCAAAGTAGTGAATAGGGCCGTCATCAAGATAATCGAGGACGACCGAGGGGTTGGTCTCGAGGTAGGCAAAGTGGAGATCTAGGTAAATAGAGTAGAGAAGTCGATGTGACTCAAGGGTTGAGAGCTTTCTGCGCCCGACCCCACGATCCAAAATGTACACAGTCACACTCGAACTATTCAAAATTTCAAATCAGAGTTTGCCTCAGATCTGCAAGTTCAACGTCGAGCCTTGGCGCGGATGGCGGGAAGGTCGGATGACCATTCAACCCTTTCGAATTACCTTGCTTGACAAGGTTTGCTACGACCAACCGACAATTTCCGGCAATTCACGTGATGCCGTCGGGAAGTCCCATGAGGCCCCCCTTTGTCTGACAAGACTCTCACTCGTCACAACTTAATGTTTGGATCAAGCAAGGTTTCTGCCGACGCAGGCGGCAATTCATGAGTCAACATTTAGTTTTAAAATCCAGGTGGCACTCCATAATACCACCTCTCCGATCACCCAGTTTCTGATGATCTCCGGAGGATTCCGAAAGTGCACGTCGACAGCATCACGGCCATGGGGATCAGCCAGCAAAGGTTGGATCGATCTAGGTATGTACTATGGGCACACTGAACGGGCTCCTTATACAGATAACCTTTAATCTGTACATTTATTGGGCAAATCGTAGAAAAACATCCAACGGCCAATTCAAGCTAGATTTTGCCAGCAATGCCATCTTTCGCCTCTGGTTTCCCTAACTGCTGGCTTCACCATACCTGAAAGATTGTTCTCACATCATCATCATCATGCTTCTCGAACCTCGACCTGCCGGGTCCTGGCCAACTCCATCGTGATTATGATCATCTCAAGCAACTCTAGAGCCAGATCCGAATGACAAAGCTGATTTTTATGGCTTAGTAAATGTTTAAAACGGCGGGCTGCAACCAAAGATGTAAGCCAGTTTCATACTTGACCATCTAACATTGCTATGTCGAATAATCCATTCCCCATTGTTGATTTCGCGCCGTTCTTAGACGGATCTGCGAAACAGCAGGCTGCAGATAAGCTCCTCGGGTCGTTCAAATCGTATGGATTCTTCTACCTCACGAATTTCGGTATATCGAACGAAGAGGTCCAAGAGATGTTTGATTTGGTGGGTTAACAGCCGCCTCCCTAGCCAGGACTTCTAACATATGAGTCGTGCGATAGTCGAAGCGTTTTTTTGCCCTTCCGCACGAAAGCAAAATGCTCGCGCCTTATCCAGACTCTAGAACCCATCATCGAGGTTGGATAATTCCATTGCCGAATACTAAGATTAGGGGTTTCATTGGAAAGCTGGCTTTTGGCAGTATAACACTGCCTACAATATGAATGGCGCAGGTCCCGGTGTTCACTGGGCACCCAGCATGGGGTGGGCTCAGAATGTCCCTGCTAACTTTAATCCTTACAAGCGCGTCCCCCGTCCTGCAAGCCCGAGCTACAGGAGGACACAGCTCACCGACAATGGTCTTGGTTTTGGAGAACATGGTCCATGCAAGGTGCGTGGGTGATTTGGCCTCCAAACTACGTTCCCGAGATGGAAGGCGTATGACATATGCACGCTCAAGACCGCTCCCCTTCCGAATCTAACATACGCATGTCTGAACTGGGTACAGTAGCGCTCCTCTTTTCAGAGTCAAAATTTACCACCGTAACCCTCACTCGTGCATTTGGATGCAGCGTTCCCTTTCTACTCATGCATCTCCCTCCACCTCCGCCATTCATCTGTTGAAACTGACTTTGGAGAAGTTGGCTCTGCTTTCTGGAATCCCGCTCTCGGTGGTGCGCAAGGTCTTCTTCGAGGAGAACTTGATGTTCGATGGGAACGTGACCCGGGAGGTGGTGGGCGGCCTGAGTTGTGGTGTCGTGACAAAAGAGTGCAGAACTGGACGCCGGATGCACATGGCGAGTGTGTTAACGCTTCCGAGGATATTGATCGGTGACTCGGATGGTTATTCATCTATGGATGACCCGACTCGGGAGTTGAATATCACGCTACAATTGTATGTATGTATACCACGTATTCCTCTCTGCTTTTGTCACACTTCCTGAAGGCACCGACTGGGCGTGTGACTGCGTTTGCATGTTCATTTCCTTAGCGCTCGCCGACGGATTTGGTGCAGTTTACTGTCTACCTCTCTGTAAAGCACGCCGTTCTCAATCAGGGTCATGCCCCACGAAGAGGCTGAGTCAAGCACGTCAGTCAGAGAGAGAGAAGCGCTCTTAGGCTCATCAGCACGTATTAGACCTCTAGCGGCAGAGAAGGATCCACCGCCATATGGTGCACAGCATCGCCAGGATGCTCTTTGGAAAGGTGAGCAAACCGTATTAGGATGGCCACAGACTTACTTAACAAGAAGCAGGCGGGAATGGAGCGCTCCCTCCTAAATGGCAACAGTCTAAGATTTTCAATGGTTCAACGCTATATCAAGACAACACGATCACCATGGCTTCATTCGACCGACCTTTACCAGGAGTGCGTCTAGGTGAGGGAAAAACGTCCCACTGGGAGCGAGGAACTCATGACAAAGCATAGATGATCCTGGATATCTTGTTGTAAGTGGATGCGAATGGCACATCTCACCACTCGGTCGGTCCTACTTTGTCAACCACAACACTCAGACCACGTCCTGGAAGAAACCGACGTTAGAACGGCCGGCCGGGAGCTTGATGCCGGAGTGCATCATCGAGAGTCACTCCCACTGCATATGGAGTCTTGCCTGCGTGGGTGCTAGTTGCAATGTACTAAGCTCGTCGGAGGACTGTTCGATCCGCCAGTGGAAAAGAGACGGAGAGTCAGTAGGAAAACCTTTGGATAGCCATGGGATACGGATAGGCTGTATGGCTGCATCTCCTGACGAAACTATGGTTGTGAGTGGAAGTGGGAACGACACACTACGACTGTGGAACATAAAGAAGGGCAGTATGGTTGGCGATCCGTGGGAGGGCCACAATGGCCAGGTGATGTGCCTCGATTGGTCTCCCAATGCGCTAGAGATAGCAAGTGGATCGACCGACGGCACCATACGACGCTGGAACCCGGATACCGGCCAACAAATTGCATCACCGATAGAGACCGGTCACGGTTGGGTCTATGCTGTCAAATACTCTCCACAAGGCGACAAATTCACGAGCGGCGGGCAGGACAGCATGATTCGTGTGTGGTCAAAGAACGGCGAGCTACTTATCGAGATCAAGGGACATGAAAACGTCGTGACGTCGTTGTGTTGGTCCAGGGATGGCGCATACATTTTCTCCGCGTCATATGATCGCACCATCCGAAAATGGCGGTCAGTTGATGAGAAGGAGCTCGTTGTTTTTCAGGGTCATGACAATGCCGTCCACTCTCTCTGTCTTTCCCCTGATCAAAGCCATCTTGTCAGTGCATCAACCGACTGCTCTGTTCGCATCTGGGACCTCAGATCCAATCAGCTAGTCGGAGACCCACTCCTGCATGACGACGAACTCTTGACTGTTATCATGTCCTCCGATGGAAAATACATTGCCAGTGCTGGATTAGACGGAAAGGTCTATATATGGAATGTGGAAGCAGCGCTCAAAAGATGTCCAATCCGACGGCGAGATGTGCGCTAATCAGTTGTGAACTCTATCATTTGCTGATTTGTGTTGTTAGACCTTTCTCTCATATCCAATTGTCTCAAAACAGCTCGCGAACAATAGAGGCGTGGGGAGATATGTTAGTGTTATTTTTCGATTCTTAGCTTTGGCTAACGTTCATTTGATACAGGGCAATGATTTCTTTGGTAACGATACAAATAGTGGGCCAGCTCCCCCTGCAAGCGCGTCGTCTCTCCTTCGTCGTTTGTTCAGTTCCCCACGTGTCCGCACGCGACCTCCAAATTCGCTCCAATCAATGCCACGCGAGCCCCGGCGTTGGAATTTCAACTTATTTGGAGGAGGAAGCTCTATGCATCCCGTTGAAGTAGCTGCCGGTCGGAAGAAAAATGTGAGTGACCTCCATTGCTCTTTTTTTGATATCATGGAACTTAATACATTGGCAGAGAATTTATGTTTCCCCTCCCAGCGCAGCAGAATTGGCCCGCGCAGAAGCGGCTGCAGCTGCGCAACATACGAATGGCAATGAGACCGGCAATTCGATGCAAGCAGGTCAATCTCAAACTGTGTCGGGAACACAAGTGTCTCAAGGACGCCCGACGAACACGAACACGCAAGCAGGTCAATCTCAAGCTGTGTCGGGCACACAATCGTCTCAAGGACGCCCAACGGCCACGCAAGCAGGTCAATCTCAGGCTGTGCCAGGGACACAAGCGTCTCAAGGGCAAACACCAGGAGCGCAAGGAGCAGGTGATGGGATGGGAGATGTTTCTTATCAAGCATTGAGCTGTTGCGGATTTTTCTTTGGATTTTTCTTTGGTCGTCGTCGTCCCACCTCGCATCAGCCATGAGGACATTTACTAAACTAGTCGTTTGTATGTTTATCTCTAGAAGTTGTGGGCTTTACAGATGGGTTCTCGCCCAGCCATACACCTCGTGAGCGTTGCATTTTACTTGTCCGTGTAGATGAAGGCCATATAGTTGCTTTTCATACCATTTTCAAATGAGTACATGCCTAGCAATACATCCCATACCTCGGACTCCACAAATGACTTTGAAGTTCGAGCGTTACCGAGAACATGAAGATGAAAGGTAATAGTTTTACGAGCAGACTTCATTGACTTAATTACTTACTATTCAGACGAAAGAACTTTAAGCAGATTAGTGTTTAAATTTGACAGAAATATCTGCATGCGCGCCTGTTCGACAAACAAAACCAATCTCGGATCTACGTAGTGAGGCCAGTTAATTGACTCGTTCACTTGCTTCGAAATATGCCTTCCACTGCAAGCCAACTGGAACGGGATATAAAAGCACTTCGAGTGAGACTTCACACGAATTCCACCTATTCAGTCCTTTTTAAAAAAAAGGAAATCCATTTATTGCCATTGTAGGCTGGCCTAACGTCGACAGCAGCAAATATGAAGTCAGTCCTTACCGTCCTTTGTTCAGATCTCCAAGAGAAGAGTCCAACTCGGAGCGGTGGGTCCTCGTTGAACACATGAAGGGTAAGCCTCAGTTCGCACTCGCAAGACCTCCACCAGCTGTTGTCAGTTGTTCGAATTTCTAACAATCTGTCTGTCTTGCCATATGCACAGTCGCTCCTGGCCAGGTAGTTGGACTATCTGGGAATGCATCTGAGTGCATGACGTCGCCTATATCCGTGTAGTTGCTTGTAGTGTGGAAGATGATAATGATTACTGACCCACGCAATACCAAGTGTGCATCCTGGAGAGGACGATTGGGCGCCTGCTAGGATGGTGGGTTGATTTGCCCTCGGTTTTGGGATCGAGTATGCATATTCTTTCGAATGCCTCTTCAGTCGAGTGACCCTTTCCAACTCAACGATGTGATCGCCGTGTTAGCTATCCATGATGTCTATGGCCATGAAACTCATAGCTCGTGCGAATCTGTGTATCATTCAGACGGATTATGTGTGTTGTATATTTCTTATACAGTCACTCAACATGATAATTCAAGAGCTCGTCCACTTTCTCATCATCGCCTAGGTGTGCTCATTCTATTTCGTCCGATTGAGAATCGAAAGGCAAGATCATTTGATCAGTCGTGAGCGGTGGGGCTTGGAGTGGTGACATGGTGTATTTTGAAACCCGGTACGCAATCTTGCCAAGGGCTCCACGTATAACCTTGGGTTAGCGACACAAAACCAATTTGCTCCCCGCTCTCCACTCAGGCTGATCCTTTGACATTCTTGCAACGAGTCAGAAACTCGGGGAGTTCAGACAGATCTGGTAATCCGAAAATTCGAGTCAGTAGTCGTGAGAGTTTCATGGTGTACGCTTGAATACCGAGACAATAGACAGATCGCTTCTGCGGAATCACGGGAAGATCACGATTCTGCACAGTCAGTGTAATGTGATTCTCGGTTGGTACGACTTAGCGTGGTGTATCATATTCCAGTAACAAAGATGACCTGGATAGTCATGTAGCATACTGAGTCATCGATGTGCTGCAGACACGCGTCGTCAACGCTATGGTGGTGAGGTGTTAAGCGCCACGGTCCCCGAAACACTCATCAAACCGTGCTCATCGGTTTTCGGACCATCGAAAAGTTATTGGAAGTTGGCTAAAAAAAGGAGCCAGTAACCATTTGCTTACTTGTCCGTGAGATCTCGTATACCAGTAATTCGTAGTACGTACCCAGGTCGAGTACAAGTCGAGCGTTCAAAGTGCGGGATTGAAGAGCAAGCGAGCGGGAAATGCCGTCTGAATCGGCGTCAAGTCGGGATTACTGGGCCTTAGGATTTTGCCGCATCACTGCCGCATCCGTGCCGCACCCTACACAACAAGTGTCTTATATGCGTATATAATATGTCTACGTCGTCCACAAAGGTCTTAAATATGATTTATGATTAAGAAATACCATAGTACATGTTTTTGTGTAAGAATTATTGTGGTACCATAGTGAATATAGTACTTCATGGGTGCGGTAGTGGTGCGGTAGGGTGCGGTAGTGACGCGGTAGGGTGCGGCAATTCTGAGATTTGTGGCTGTGGGGTGCGGCAGTTCTGAGATTTGTGGCTGTGCACTACCGCACCGCACCAACACATCTTTCTTACCAAGTATACCTGCAGCATTGTCCATGGTGTGCATTGTTCGCGGCAATTCATGCACCTCTGCAGTCTTGCCTGGCACTTGGTCTTCACCGCCAGATGGAATCAACCTCACTACCTGTCAGTCAACCACAAACCACAAACCATGAACATCATCAGCGAGGCACTGCCGCACAACAGCACGCTCATCCTCGCACATGTCAAGTACTTCCATGTAGTACTACCTTCCTTGGCTGTGGCTGTGGTTTGGGCTTCTTGGTATGTTTCTCTTTCTTAACGACTTCAGGCTCACTTCCTTCACTAAAGTTCGGCCCACACTGTTGGCCAGCACTGTTTTAATGCAACCTGCTGCCGTGAATATGAAAACAATGCACATCCAGTTCTCCTTCGAATTCTGGTGCATATGGATCTCGGTCACCATGATTCCAGTGCTCAGGGAGACCCTTGTATGGGTTCCATCGGTCTTGGTGCGTGCCAACATCTTTTCCCCATTGTTCATTCCCTGCAGCACCTGCGGCCAACGAGAGTTCGAACATTCGCTGTTCGAGTATACCAAGGCACTCTAGATCAACGTCGACATCCATCACAGACAGATCATAGCTGAGTTGGAGGTCAAGCCAGGCCACCTGGAGTATCGCATTTGCTTCCTCTTCAGGAGTAGGTAGTGACTCGGAGTCCATGTCAAGTGCTGCTGAGTGACGTTCAGTCAAAATATTTTCGGCCATCTCCTGGAGTTGATTCTTCTTCCATTTTGCAACTACAATAGTGCATGCATGCGCATAGGTAGCACAGTTTAGCCAATTGACAATTTGTTTGGATGCACCAGGGATGTGATGGTAGACCCAGTTCGCAATCTGAGCACAGTCTGTAAGAGACAGATCACCACAATATGGCACAGTAGTGTGCTTGCAACCTGTTTTCTCTGATAGGTCGGCAAGGTACCCAAGCACTGGGACTGCATGGTGCATCTTCGCAGGATCAGGCTGCTCAAAAATATTTGTGAGGAGTTGACTGTGAGGAGCCAATGCTTCATCGATATTAACACTGTAGGGAATGTGTCGAAAGTTTGCGATGTCTTCGTGCTGAGGAACCTCGTGCGCATGTGTCCATCTGCCAAGCTATCATATGGATGTTAGAGTTTGCTATTGAATCTAAGAGTTGTACACACCCGAATCATGTGACAACGTTTATGATCTCCATAGAGTGCCACAACTAAGTCTCCCTTGCCAACCTCAAGTGGAGGTTGAGTGTCGGGTTTGAAAGAACAATGTCTCCACCATTTGACTGTATACAAGGTGACCTTTCCCCCAACCTGTCGACACGACTTGATCCTGACAGGGTACCAGTATTTGCCATGGCGTGCTAATGCTCCCTTTCCTGGTCTGTACATAGTAAATGAGTTGGTGCTATCACTTGCACATCCAGGGAAACCCACAACAAATGTTTCACCATAGGAATAGCTATGTGGCGGGAAATACTGTAAAGGATATAACATTGTGATCCTTGAATTATAGTAACAATTAGGAACTCTTACCGTTCAGGACGTCTAGTTTGTGTGAGCAAGACATGATCACCATATGGTGCACAGTCCGGAGTATCACAATAAAATGGCTTCTTTTTTGCCAAATTACTTGCCCGGCCATCCCTTTGGCAAGCAACATGAGACCAGCACTCGCAGTTATCACACTGAATGGCCACTTCACTCTCTTCCTGGAGATCTCCATGTTCGCGGCTTCCACACCTACAGTAGAAATCATACTCTGGAGTAATACTCGGAGGTTGCGGTGGCAGAGGTTGCTGAATCGGTATTTCGTCATCATTGTCTGGGACAAACAACTTTACCCTCTTGTGTTTTGGTGGCCTCAAGTGCAAAATAGATGGGGGGGGCTGTGAACTTTCCATAGTAGGTTCGAATTTTTTGCGAGATACATAGTCCACATATTTTGTTGATATCGTGGCATCCTGGGCCCAGAATCGCTTGAAATCTGACTGAATTGGGAGAGTGTCGTTGCACAATTGAATTTCCCGAGGTATTGATAGATCACTATCAGTCAACTGGCTCCCATTGTGCGAGGCAACAAACTCAATGTTGCACACCTGTTGCGCTAATGCCATCTGATGTGGGGAAAAGTAGTGTTGAGCTTCAGTCCCTCCACGAAGGTGATATATCACAGCGCAAGTGTTGTATCAAGGGGGTGGGGATATCAGGCGGTGTGTACCTGCGACATGGGTGTTTATTTTGGCCTTCCTATCCACTGTCGCATGACCACCCAACTTCATCCCATCGTAGTCGTAGATGTGCTTGTCGGGAGTGATATAATGAGCTATGAAATGATGGGAGGCAGGACTGAAAAATGCCCTACCAATGATATCATATACAACCCCTTGACGTTCCTCTGCCTTTCCATCTAGTGGTCGAATAGTCTGTGGAAAGTGCCATGATAAGCCATTGTTATCGTGTCCTTGAGTATCTTGATCGTCAATTTCGATAATTAATGTGATGGGTATATGAGAGCAAAAGGTAAGACATGTTGCTGTCCCGTTGCAATGCACTTCACCATCCAATACACACCAGCAGGAAGGTGTTTTTGCTGGTGGCTTCTTGACTTGGATCAAGTGTCGAAACCATTTACTTACATCACCATTGAATTGCTCCGCAGCAGATCTTTGCAACTGGAGATGAAAGACAGCCCTGGTCTTGCACACCGTTTGCCAGTGTGGATCTTGCATGAATGACGATTCATTAGATGGTGATCCAGAGCATGAACGTACATCGATCATATGAAGATGGAAGTACCCGTGCATGAATTTTGTGGTGCTGTTGTGTGGATAGTTGAGCAGTGATCCTAACCAAGTCTATAACACAAGCTCAGTCAAGGTCGTGCCCAGAGTATTTGTTAGTACATACAAAGATAGCTTCGAAAGGGTCCATGGCTGAGATTATCTTCTTGTCACAGAGGTCTTGTCTTACACTCTCTCATTGCGCAAACAAGATGCTAATAATGTCATCAGGTGCTGAGGGATCGGGGCCTTGTAGCACAGTGCGGTGTAGAGACTCATGCCTCTCATGGTGTGATATGGCAGTATTCACTAGGGAGCGCAACGCGCGCCATGCGCGCACCATTCCCGCGCTTTATGATGTATACGTGCGCGCGCTTTCCCGCGCTTGGTCGCCCTATAGCGCCAGCTTTCCGGAAGCATCCATCCACTGTCCACCAAGCTCTCTAGTGCGTGTATTTCCATCTCCCTTATTTACATATCATTCCACCTTTATTTATATCATGGACCCTTACTTACATACATATATCTTTACATACCTTACTCGGTAGCGCTTCGGCTCCGCGTGACAGCGCTTAGGCGCCGTATATAAGCGCCAGCATTACATACTATTAGGGAACTTTTCCAACTTAGACTCTACCTCCCACTTACCCACTTACCACCTAGAGAATATAGTTGCAATCTATTCTTTGACACCTCGCGCTCGTATCTCTTGTTATTCATCTAATCACCACTTAAGCAAACTCACACTTACTCTCACTTGTCTCCGCTCACGCGCGCTTCCCGCGCCTCGCGCGTACCTTCGCTTTCCCGCGCCTCGCGCGCACCTGCGCGCTTTCTCGCGCTTCGCATTGGCTGACCAGTAGCGCCTTCAGCGCCTACTCCTAGAACCTTGCTGCACTCGCTTCCCCTTTAGGGTCGAACGTACTTGTCTTCTCAAGAATAGCAGACTAGGCAACGCGCGACCTCACAACATTATAGATACAGTTTGGAGCATTCATTTGTTCCTCTCAGTATTGTTGTTTCTACAGCGGGCATTGAAAGCATGACTGAGGAGTGAAAGCGAGTCTTCATCAGTTAACTCTGACATTCGAGGACTGAATGACATCTCAAAGTCTCGTGAGACAGCGATGAAAAGCAGTTCAAGTAAAGTGTCAAGCCAGCACAAGTTATTCGACCACTTATAGGATGCTCGTTTGATGTCATTTAGGCGAGGCCGTTTGGTTGGAGATACTGATGCATCGTGGGAGGTCTCTCCATCAGTAAAACAATTGCCAAGTAGTTGACGAGCTGTATCAGGGGGGCGACCATCACTCCGAGCTCGTTTTTTGGCCGCAATCTTCTCTGGTGCACGCGAAGGATGTGTCATACCAAGCTCATCTTTCCATTTCTTCCAGAACTGACGTGAATTGCCATAGAAAAGAGGAATACCAGCTGCTCATCGAGGTTAGTGATTAAATAGCACATACAAGAATGTTCGCATACAAGAATTACCAGCTGATTGCAGCTGCCAATACTCAGAAAATGCCTGCAATGCACGTAATCCAGCCACAAAGCCATGAAATTTCCCAAGGCTGCAATATATTCGCCAATGCATGGCCTCCTCAAGATTGTACCAGAGGTTGTCTGGCATACGTCGAAAGGGAGTGAAGAGCATTTCAGCGCGCCCATCTGCCATCCACCAGTTCAACCAGCCCTCAGCCTTGGGATAGTCGCGAATAAGAGAAGCTGAAATAGATTTGAATGTCGCAAGGTCTTGGCACTGCAGGAGTTGAAGGACGCGGTTTGCAAACACTTCTGTCAGGGCAGGAGGAACAACACCACTGATTTTTTTGATGCGGGTGACCTGTGCATGAAAATGTTGGCGGCAGCCCTTCAATAGACTCCCAGCAGCTTCGGCAAGTTCTTCAGGTGGTCGAGTATTGTCTTCGCGAGCCATCCAGAATTCTACATATGCGTTGATGAAGCCTGCTCGCTCTGCCTGGCTGAAATCAATGACCTAGAATGAATGAACTCGTGAAAAACTGGTGTCGACATCATACACTCACATTGGCAAAAAGATCATCAGTGAGGATTATGTTTTGCCGTTCATACTCTCGAGTCATTGTTTCAAATAGTGCTCAGAAATGATGACGGTAGTGTGCTTCAGTACCACCATTTGACCACGTCATCACACCTGGCACCCAGCATTGGAGAGCATCACTGAAGACGGAGCTGATAATCAAGAGATCATTGCGCTCAGCCCAAAATCCATGGGCAGCATCAGATATGATACCATTACTGTGATTTTTGACAAGAAACGACAACATGATGGGCAACTGTGTGATGACAACAGCGACTGGCTCGAAGGTGTGGTAAATCACGAAATCCGGATGCTGGTGTTGGAACTCTGTAAAATCTGCAATAATATCCTTGCCTTGCCTCTTAGTGAACACCTTTTTTCTCTCGTGGTTCACCCTGGCCGTATTCAGAAGCAACGGAGAGATGGTTGCAACCGACTCCTGCGGTCCATTGATGCCCGGGCGGCCCATCACAAGCTGTGTTGCACCCATGCGGGGGTGCTCCTTGATGACTTGCCGGAAGTGATGTGATTCCAATTTCGTCAGATGCAGTCGTCATGGTGGGCAAATGTGGTGGTGAAAGCCTTGATGAACGAAGCACACACCCTCTGAAAATTTGAAAAGATCATAAATTATACCGCAATTATTATGGACAAGCATGGCACCACAAGAGCATGATGCCTTGAGCTGTTTGGCAATGAGTTTCTTGGTCGTAGTAGGACGGACAACAATAGCACACGATCCACCCTTGGATTCATGGTTGGCACATACAATGACACCATTGCAGTGTCGACGAGTGCACACACCTTCCTGCCACTCTAAGGCATCAAGCGAGCCTCTATGTTGCTTTCAAGGCGCACCTAGACCCTCGCAAGCCCAGTGGACATGGAAATCATTGACCTCAGGTCGTTTGGCATCTTCACATGAGTAAATTCGTGTGATGTGGCCATCAGGCCAGACGTCCCATTCGATATCACCACCAGTAGGTGCCTGGGGTTGGTGTACAGCAGAGGTGCGTGCAGTTGGATCAGTCGAGTCAATACCTTAGATAGATTAATCACAGCTCCAGCCTTGAACGTGCTGATTGTACTTACTAGTAGCAGGTGGCTTTTGAAGGTTTTGTCTAGGTGGCTCGTCAATCATGCGCGTAGTTGAATTGCTGACCTGAGAAGGGATTGGCCAATTTGTATAAGGCTGATCTCGCACAGGAGGCTGTGGAGGCGCGGGGGGGTGTTGCAAAGGCAGAGTAGGGTGAACATCTAGGGTAGGTTGTGGAGGCGCTGGGGGGTGTTGCAAAGGCGGAGTAGGGTGAACATCTAGAGTATATTGCTGCGAAGTCACTGGCGGGTGTTGCAGGGGTGGTGTAGTGTGAACACCCGAGGTATAGTGCTGCGAGTGATGTTCTGATTCAAAGACACGGACGGAAACTGGAGGCACCAAGTCAAGGCTTGGCGCAGTGAAAGAGAAAGGCCAAATACTCACCATCGACACGGAAATGTTCATTGGGTGTAGCAGTGCGAGGTTGCGTCGTCACAGTTTCTGTGTGACTGAAACCGGAGACTGGAGAACATCAGGACGCCAGCCTCTGAGTGATTATTAGGTCACTTACTTTTCTTGACCTAAGAGGGGCTATGGGACACTCCTGCAGTATCAAGCTGCGAGGCGTCACACTTGCATGGGCTCCTGGGCTGAAATAAGTTACTGATAAAGCTCTGGCGGGTGTTATCATGATGCAATCGGCACAATTCAAGAATTAAACTTGACATCAACGTACCGGAATTATTCTCATTCAGGCGAGCATGGAGTTAGAAGCAGGATGGGACAATGAGCGTGATATTATGAGCATAAGAAGGGATATGGTATCAAAAAAATATGCTAGCCCAATATTAGTGGCTGTGCCACATAGTGTGTTGCGACATGCGTCTGACTCGGAGGTCTGAGTCGTATATAAAGGCTCCGGACATGCAAAAAGGCTGTAGAATCCATGCTAGCCAGTCACCGGCCGGTAGACATAGAATCAGTGCTGGCCAGTCTGTCTAGGAATTCTAGTAATAGCATTGACAAGCATATTGCAAACACTGTATGATATGCAGAACCTGTGCTGGCCAGATTGTATAGTATATTAGTACAGGATGAGCTTATTGTGTAATATTGGATCAGGCCAGCCTAAGATTTACAGAGGGTAATATTAGGGTGGCCATTCAGTCAATATCCTACTTACATATGTAATGTGTTGATTTGCTAATCTATATATCTAGTTATGACTATAGATAATGCTCGGCCTGTATGTCCTGAGGTGACATAGAAGGGTAATGGCCAGGACTTAAGGACTAGTCATATACCTAGACTACTAATATATGCTACTGCAAATAACTTAGGGTGATCTGGCCAGCTTGTCTGTGGGCCATGTGGAGCAATGACGGCCAGTGTATGGTGTATAAAAAAATTATTGGGCCTGGCCAATGTGCCTATTTCCCACATAGAGGGATGGTAGCCAGGATGTGATAAGCTGGCCCAGCCAGCACGATGGCTATGTGGCCTATGACCATGGCTGGCCATTTGTGTAGAAAATTATTAGACCTGGCTGACTGGTCTATGGCCCACGTAGATGGATGGTGGCCAGGAGGTTATAAATTTAAAGGTGGCATGGCCAGCATGGGTTTTACATAGGCTACAGACCAGACAGGCCATCCAGTGTACTATAGAATAGACTTACCAGGTTGGCCAGTTTGCCCATGCTACCTTTAGATTTATAACATCCTGGCCGCCATCCCTCTACATGGGCCATAGACCAGTCGGCCAGGTCTAATAATTTTCTACACTAAATAAGGTAGTCTATTCTATGGTACATTATATGGCCAGACTTGTCTGTAGGCCATGTAAAACCCATGCTGGCCATGCCACCTTTAAATTTATAACATCCTGGCCGTCATCCCTCTATGTGGGCCATAGACCAGTCGGCCAAGGCTAATAATGTTCTACACTACATAAGGGTAGTCTATTCTATGGTACATTATATGGCCAGACTTGTCTGTAGGCTATGTAAGTTGGCCAGCCCTAATGATTTTCTTGTAAGTGTCATATCCCGTATTCCGGACCTACATCCAACAATATTCCCACGCCTCATCCGGACCTTCGGACGCCCTATCCATGTCTCCAGTCCTCTATCCATCCGGATCCCTGCACCCCTACACATCCACATCCACATCCACATCCCTTTACCTCCATACCTCAGCTAGCCTGCATCAGTCATCCTTTGTCCCATCACCCTAATGTCATATCCCATATATCCACGTGTCTCATCTGGACGTCTGGTCCGATCCAGTCTGGTCCGATCTGATCTGATCCGATATACGATAAGCTTCCTAATTCATTCCTGTGCATATAACGTTAACACAGCCTATTCCTCTATTCGGTATTCCTTGTCCTCGGTATCTCGGTTATACTTACTACCGGTATGCTTACTGATCCATTAACCTATGCTTCATTTCCGACTCGCGCTTGATAACTTTGCTTATGCTTCATACATAGCCTCAGACGCTTGCTTACTGATCTTTCCGTTATTTCCTTAGTATATAAACTCTTGTATATGTCCTGTAGTTCCTCAGTCTGAATATCATATTAGTCCTTGCACTAGATCTCACTCTAAGTCCTCACATCAGTTCTAGTCTATCGACTTAGTCAATATCCATCTCGGGCCTAGGGAGAAATTCCCTAGGCCAGAGCTCCGCTTATCCGATCCCTGCTCATCCACTTATCTGATCCTCCGAAGTTTCCGGACGTTCGTCCGAAACTTTCCCGCGGTCCTCCGGACCTATTCTGCTTTGGACTTTGTCCTTGCAGCCTTTCCTCTGTTTGCTTCTACTTAGGACTTGTCCTAAGTAGCCATTACACGTATCCGTATCAGGACGAAACCTCATCGTAATTTCCGGAAGTTCCTCCGGAACTTTCCCGCACTCATCCGGAAATTACTTGCACTCGTCCAGAAAGTCCTTCCGAACTTTCCCGCGCTTTGGACATCCTTTGGACATCATTCTGAAATTAAGGGCACATACTCGGGTAAGGGGCGCAGCGCATGAGCTGAAGCCAAGCCCCTCGGAATCAGTCCTACCCTTTGTGCACGGTCTTAACAGTAAGCTCAAGTATTATACATGATAGACAACACTATACACCAGGTAGTTTATTCCAAAGTACACTGAATGGCCAGTTTGGCTTGTAGAGACCAGTCGGCCAGGTCTAATAATTTTCTACACTAAGGAAGGTAGTCTATTCTAATGTACACTGAATGGCCAGTTTGGCCTGTAGCCCATGTAGAAGCCATGCTGGCCATGCCACCTGTGGATTTATAACATCCCAGCCGCTGTCCCTCTACGTGGGCCATAGGCAAGTTGGCCAGGGCTAATAATTTTCTACACTGACTGGCCAGCCATGATTGTAGGCCACATAGCCAATGTGCTGGCCAGGTCAGCTTCAGATATATCTATATCATGTCGACATTTGTATATTAAGACAAAGTATGATACCTAAGAGGATAATGACCAATGTGTTCTCTATTTAACAGCTCTGAAGACAATACACAAATATTTGACTAAAGAATATTCTTCCTAGAGGGTTGCCTAGATCTGGTGGACCGACGAATTGGTTCCTCTTCAATCCTGGCCTTCTTAGTCTTCACTGAGGAAGTCTGGTTTCTCACCCTTTTCTTCCCTTTGGATTTGCCTGCCTTGTCGTCCTTCTCCACCTCCTGCATCTGCACATCCGAATCTCCTGTCACCTCCTCCTGCTCATCATCCTGGTCCTTCTCCTTCTCCTTCTCTTCCTTGTCCTTGTCCTCTTCTTCTTCCTTATCCTCTTCCTCGTCCTCCTCCTGGTCCTTGTCCTCACCATCAACTCCCCCCATTTCCCCCTGATCACTGTCATTAAAGTTACCTGATGTAGCCTTCATCGCCAACTCAATGAGGCCTACAATGGAGCTTGCAGTGTGGCTGATTGCACTGTCCACCTTAATCATACATTGGAGGTCCATGATTGAACTGGCCAAGTAGGAGGGGGTACCAGGTAGGGCCTCCTCTTCTTCATACTCTATGACTCGTTTGCAGTCTCTCAAAATCAAACCCAGGCCCAAGACCACTAGGGCAGCTGAGTGCGAAGACCTGATTGAGGCATTTGTCAATAGCTCCAAGCTGGCCATCACCATGTCCTGTGACCTGTGCAGATACTCAGGAAGGTAAGACTCTCCACAATGCCAATCAACCCATGGAGGTAAGTCAAGCTCCTCTTGTGGTATCGGCTAGTGAATGAGTTATGATCAATACATTCCCAAGATTGATAATAATACACTTACAAATTTTTCCGTCATGTTAGCAAGATCCTTGACTGCATCTACGAGCTCCAGGTAAGAGCTATCAGTGCTGAGAGCATCTAAAAATTCAAAACGACGGTCAAGTGAAACCTCAGCTGGTGATGCTACAGCTAAAGTAGCACCCAGTCCAGCTAGACTATGCTGTTCTTCTTCAGAGGTAACTTCGTCATATGGTTTCACCTTCCTGGAACTTGCTTTGTCCCTTTTACTGTGTCTCATGTCCGATGGTCTTGCCTTGATAAAAGAGACAAGCCTCTTGTTTGCCGTGCTCCGACTCTCCCAATACCTCCAGATGACACTGATATCCTTCGATCTCATGTGAGAGGGGTCACAGATGAGAAGATTATCTGGAACAGAACTAGCCGCCAAATACTGTGACGGACAAGGAGTGATGGTACGCCAGGGCACAGGCTTACTACTGCCAGTGAAAACTTCTACAGAAGCAAACCCAATCAGCAAGCATATAGTAAATTCATGACGAAGACACCTACTGTATGCAGCATGAAAAATCATACATACGAGTTCTTGTTGATCCTTGAGTCTGATACCATCGCAAGAAGGAAGTTGGGCATAGCCTTCATCGTCCAAAATGAGTTCAGGTAGTCCATGTTCCTCCTCTTCCTTGTCGTCTTGATCAGCTGTTGGGTCTATTGATTTATAGTCAATTAATGTTTATAAAATGAAGTGATAGTAACCATACAAAATTCGCCCTTCGCCCACTCAGCAAAAAACTCGAACCCAGTTGAAGTCCACTCTTTGATACTGTCTGAGCTGACAGAGAAACTTTTTTTGACATTCCTAGGCTGAGATTCATGTCTAGAGGAGTATAGTTTAGTAGTTTTAAGATATATAAACGACCTAATACTCACAAGGTGACATTCAATGTCTGATTTGCTTGTTTTTTGTGACTGACAAGCATCACGACTTGGCAACCCATAGTTCGACGGAGTTGTTCAGAAAAATCTTCAAGGACTTTCTTGAGATTATTCTTACGATACCTGCCAGCCGATGTCAGACTTGAAATCTTGACAAAAATTTTTTACTGAGCTCACATAACCTGGCTTTCTTCTGGTGCCCCCTCTGTGTTCCACTTCTCTCGTGCATAATCGACTTCTTTCTTCTGTGTCAATGACATTTGGTTGAACCATTCTCGCGCATGACAAGTACGAAACTTGATGGGATCCTTCACACCTTTTCTCACCTGCTCTGCCTTGTCGAATTCATCCATTTCTTGTTTAAACAATCTCTGAGCCACGTCCCAGTCGGTCAGCTTTTTCTTATAGAAAGCAGCTTCCTTTGGACGGGCACTAATCTCCCTTGCCTTTGCAGCTCCTTCCTCATCAGATTCTTCTTCGTCAGGTTTTTGTCCGTAGTATTTCTTGATTGCCTGCAAGTAGTGTATTAATAGACCTGTCAAATATTCTAACATCAGTAAAAATAATACCTTCTTCAAAGGACTTGGCAAAGGCACTTGTTCGCCTTGTTCCTTGTGAGCTGCAACTATGGCCTTTCGAATTTTCTTGATCACATGAGACCGCTCCGACTTTGAATCTTTGGCAGCCAAGAACTTGGATTTATAACTAACAAGGATAGCTCTGAAGCTACTGGTCCAGTCTGAAGACATAGTTATATGACTGGAAGGTATTGTTTAAAAAAAGTAATGCTGTGGATTAACAGTACTAGGATGTCTGAATGGTAAGAGTGCGGCTGGCCAGTGATCTCAGTCAAAAGATTCTGATCAACAAACATGTCGTATGGATCATGTGATCGCATTTAAGTCATGTGATCGTGATTGATTCACATGACTTAAACACGATCACATGATCCACGCGACATGTTTGTTGATCAGAATCTTTTGACTGAGATCACCGGCCAGCCGCACTCTTACCATTCAGACATCCTAGTACTGTTAATCCACAGCATTACTTTTTAATTTTGAGAGCACATCAAATCAAAATAGATTCAGTACTGTAGACATACGACAAGAGACATGTAGATATAAGACATGAAGGGCAAGGCCTACAGGGCAAGTTGGATCCAAGATGACTGAGCCGATTTACCATGTGTAAGAACTCTTGTCAAATTCTCCGGTTGACGAAACTCGAAGGACTGGGTGCAATTCTCATTCTTACATTCAAAAAAATAAACCTTGTGATGGTTTACCAAAGTCCATGAGTCAACCCACCCACACTTGGGGCATTGAACAGGAAGGTACTGCCCCCAAGGGCGAGACACAGTATGGGTCCATGCGAACTTGGTGACGTTCAACGAGTCGGAATTCTTCACCAACAATAAAATGTCGGAGTGCCGACCCAAGTTGAGAGAGTGAGTCAGCATAAGAGGGAATGTGTGGCTGATAGAGAATCACTCGATGATGACACGCTCGATGAATGCGAGAAGGAGATGTGTGGTGAAGCTTGGCTGGAAACGTACTGCATTGAAGGCTACAGTAGCGGAAAGTTGATGTCTAGTATAACCGCTGTAGAAACAACAATACAGAGAGGAACAAATGATGCTCCAGACTAAATCTGTAAATGTTGTGAGGTCGCGCGTTGCCTAGTCTGCTATACTTGAGACGACAAGTGCGTTCGACCCTAAAGGGGAAGCGAGTGCAGCAAAAATCTAGTAGTGTGTGCCGAAGGCGCTACTGGTCGGCTGATGCGAAGCGCGAGAAAGCGCGCAGGTGCGCGCGAGGCGCGGGAAAGCGAAGGTACGCGCGAGGCACGGGAAGCGCGCGCGTGCGTGAGCGGTAATGAGAGAGAGTAAGAGTGAGTTTGCTTAAGTGGTGATTAGATACTAGACAAGAGATACGAGCACGAGGTGTCAAAGAATAGATTTCTACTATGTTCTCCTAGGTAGTATGTGGGTGGTAAGTGGGAGGTAGAGTCCAAAGTTCGAAAGTTCCTAATAGTATGTAATGCTGGCACTTATATATGGCACCTAAGCGCTGTCACATGGAGCTGAAGCGCTACCGAGTAAGGTATGTAAAGCTATATGTAAGTAAGGGTCCAAAATAAAGGTGGAACAATACACAGATAAGAGAAATGGAAACATACGCACTAGAGAACTTGGTGGACAGTGGATGGATGCTTCCGGAAGGCTGGCGCTATAGGGCGATCAAGCGCAGGAAAGCGCGCGCGCGTATACATTGTAAAGCGCAGGAATGGTGCGCACATGGCGCGCATTGCGCGGGAAAGCTGCACCTCATATAGGGATAGCTGCAGATAGCACACAGAATGGTGCTGCAAGTTCGTGCAATGAACTCCCTAGTGAAAAGTGCCATATCACACCATGAGAGGCATGAGTCTCTACACCGCATTAAATCAGACACAAGACGGATCAAAAATAGCTTACTTGAGTACTGAGGTCTTCAAGTTTGTGTCATATCCCGCGTTCCGGACCCGGACCTATCACACTCATCTTTTCCGGATTTCCGGATCCGGCCGACTTCTATGTATCGTCCGGATCTGACCCGCGTCTAACTTCCACGCCTTATCCCTTTGGTATTTCCCTTATCAGTTAGTACGCTTTATTTTCCGTTCCTTATTCATTTCCGTCTTCATTTTACTAAGTTCCGATAGACTAGTGATAGTCGTACCATATGTTTTCTTCATAGCTTTACATAGCTTCGCACTGCACTTACTGTTCTCCGTTATGTCCTCAGTAGTATATAAACCCCTGTACAATCTCTGTAGTTTCCTCAGTTCGAATATCATATTAGACTCTGCTCATTCTCTCCTCCGTCCGACTTGAGTTTCTCTCTCGTCGACCTCCGCTCGTCTTAGGATCGACTCCTATAGACTTGACACCTCCGCCTCTACCTCTGGTAGTCCTCCGCTGTTTCCTTTCTAGTTCGGACTTCGTCCGGATTAGTCTTATCTCTTGTTTCCGACCGTCCGCCGGAATTCCCGCGCATCGGACATCGGACTCCGGACATCGCCCGATGCCCTCCGGACATCGCCCGATGCCCTCTGGACATCGTCCGGTAACCTTCGGACATCGTTCGACAACCCTCGGAAGTTAGGGGCACGTACTCGGGTAAGGGGCGCAGCGCACGAGCTGAAGCCAAGCCCTTCGGATCCGACCCTTGAGCACGTTCTTAACAGTATATTCGAACTCACACCTTACCGAGTATACTTACATCTGACTTCATGGCACCTACACGGGCGCAGACCGCTCTTAATGCAGCGGGTGTTGTAACCGCCCGACGCGACTCTACTCCCATAGTCGATGCCTTCCTCAGTTTCTCACAGCGTCGCGCTAGTGCGCAAGGCGCTGCCTCCAGCATCTCACAACTCATGAATCGCCCACATCCGTCTACCCCCACCCCCACACCCGCCGGAAATCTTCCGCACAATGATTCCGACGATGAACTTGCCCTAGGCGGTAACCCGCCGGGAGGAGGTGGCGGAGATCCGGATGATGAACCTCCGGAAGACCCGACTGACGATGAAAACGAAGGTCTAGGTCCACAAGACTTGGTCTTCCTCCGGCTATCCCAAGCCATCAATAACCTGGCACGTAACAACTGCCAATCCTCCGGATCCGGTGATCCTAAAGTCAAAGTCCGAGAACCGGATACCTTCGATGGCACTGAGCCCCGGAAACTCCGGGCGTTCTTTGTCCAATGTGAGCTTAACTTCCAAGCTAAGCCGAAATCTTTCCGTACCGGCCGAACTAAGGTCAACTTCGCGCAATCATACCTCAAGGGCATGGCCCTTGAATGGTTTGAGCCGGACCTCCTTTCGGATGATCTAACGGATCGTCCGGACTGGATGGATGACTACTCCGAGTTCATGTTAGAACTCCAAACTAACTTTGGACCTCATGACCCGGTCGGAGATGCGGAAATGCAGCTGGAACAGCTCTATATGCGCGACGGACAGCGCATCAACAAGTACGTTGTAGAGTTCCAGCGGCTAGCTTCCCAAGTCCGAGGTTGGGGCGACGGAGCTTTGCGCCGTCAGTTCTACAACGGACTTCCGGCTCGCATCTAGGACGAAATCAGTCGTCAAGGAAAACCCACCACTCTGTCCCAATACAAAACTCTCGCCCAGACTATCGACGCTCGATACTGGGAACGCAAGGGAGAAGTCTCCCGCGAAACCAAACCCTCCGCATCCGCGCCTCCTGCTAAGCAGTCAACTTCCACTTCCGACCGGAAAGATTACTCCGGCGGAAAATCCGGAAACGCTTCGGCTTCCTCCTCCGCCAAACTTCCGGACTTAACGTCCAAGCTCGGAAAAGACGGTAAACTCACCTCCGAGGAGCGCCAGAGGCGCATGGAAAAGAAGCTCTGCCTCTTCTGCGGCGGACCCGGTCACACTGCCCGGGACTGCCTAAAGTCCACTTCCCGTGCGGCCAAAGGTCGTGCTAGCACGGTGACTCCGGAAGCCAAACCGGAGGTCTCGGAAGAGACAAAAAATTAGTCCGCAACCCTCTTGACTCCGTGCGGGATGAGGGTTGCGTTGACTCAACCCGTGCAATGGAGCTACGTCTCAATGCTATTTCCTTTTCCGATCCGAACTCTCTAGTACCATCCGTCTCTATTTCTACTTTTCCCGATATTTCTCCGTTCCCGGCTCTAGTAGATTGTGGTTCCTCCCATTGTTTTATAGAAAGCAAGCTAATCCGAGAAAATAACATTCCAACCTATGCAATTCCTCCGCTTCCGCTCCATCTGTTTGATGGTACTTCTAATGCCACTATTACCGAGGCAGTAGATTTACCGATCCGGTTTCTGACCGGCGTGGTTACCTCCGAAACATTTTATGTTACTCCGTTGGACTCATCCTGTTCCATCGTTCTAGGATATAGCTGGCTCACCCGACACAATCCGTTGATTGACTGGGTAAAGGGCAGCATCGATTTCCATCCGATTCCTCATGGAGTGCCTCCGTCCCCTCCGACCTCTTTTCCGCCGGCTCTGGCGGAAATCCCTTCCTCAACCTCGCCGAGTTCCTCCGCTGATAAAACCGTTCCTAATATTTCCCTAATCAATGCAGTTGCCTTTTGCCGGGCCTGTAAATTAGAGGGATCGGTCCAGTTCAGTATTTTTGTTCGTCCGTCCGGTGTCAATCTCCGCTCCACTACACTCTCCTCCGAACCTCCGAACCTATCCGGAATCCCTTCGGAATATCACGAGTATGCGGATGTCTTTGATAAGGGCAAAGCCGGACAGCTCCCTCCCCATCGTCCCTGTTACGACTAGGATAGGTCGAGCTCTCCCTAGGCGGATTGCCTAATCTGATAGCGGGCTCGCTACTGGAGAGACGGGGATCTTCTCTCGAATGAGAGGTTCGGGGGTTCCACTAAAGGTAGCGTCGGCTTTCCTTTAGGTGCGGCTTAGACTGAGTGATTGGGGTGATCACACAGAGGAAGTTCTGAGTAAAACCTAGTAGAATCAAGTAGGGAATATACATGATTCTGTCTGCTCTATATACTGTCGTCCGTGTGCACAGACCAATACTACGTTTGGTAGGTAGGTATGAGTGTGTCTATACAAGGGCATCTTATCTGATGCCATGCGGGCGATTATCTGTACATGAGGCGTTGCACGCCTCTTCTATCAGTCCTCAAGGCTAAACATGCCTTGTAGTTTAACTGCGCATGCTGCGGCATGCGGCTTGTCTTCTGACCATGAGGCAGAGCTTCCCCATGATCCGGGTCGAGGACCATCTAGGTCCGTCCAGATGTTGCCTAGGCTGGTCTAGGTCATCTAACGGCATCCAGGCCGTTCTAAGCATCTCTACGAGTCTCCGTTGAGTCGGTAAGTCTTCCAATGACGGTGTATAGGCGGGATAGGGGCTAAGGTCATGATGACCTCCGTAGGAGGGGTTCTCGGTTACATGTTATTGTAACAGTCCCTATGATCTGAAGATCGATTTGGAAGAAGGAGCGGCTCCGCCCCTTGGCACCATCTATTCCCTTTCTCCGGTTGAGCTTGTAGCTCTTCGCAAATTCCTTGATGAGAATATTGCGACCGGACTTCTTCGTTCCTCATCCTCTCCGCACGGAGCCCCTGTCCTATTCGTCAAAAAGAAGGACGGCTCCCTACGCCTCTGTGTAGATTTCCGAGGACTCAATAAAATCACAAAGAAAGACCGCTACCCGCTTCCCCTCATTTCCGACCTTCTCGATTCTCCGAGCCGCGCTAAAGTTTACACTAAGATCGACCTCCGGTCCGCATACCATCTAGTCCGGATGGCGGAAGGAGACGAGTGGAAAACTGCTTTCCGGACGCGCTACGGCTCGTATGAATGGTTGGTTATGCCGGAGGGTCTCACCAATGCTCCGGCGGCTTTCCAGCGCTTTGTCAATACCATCTTTGCCGATATGCTTGACATCTGTGTTATTGTGTACCTCGACGACATCCTCATCTATTCCGCAGACCTTGCATCCCATAAAAAACACGTCCTTGAAGTCCTCCGACGCCTCCGGAAGCATTGGCTATATGCTAAACCGGAGAAGTGCGAATTCCATTCCGACTCTGTAGAATACCTCGGTTACCTCCTATCTCCGGCCGGACTTACAATGTCCTCCGACAAAGTCCAGACTATCTGCGACTGGCCGGAACCTCGGAAAGTCAAGGATATTCAATCGTTCCTCGGATTCGCCAATTTCTATCGTCGCTTCATCTTTAACTACTCAGATATTGTAGTTCCGCTTACGCAGCTCACTCGCAAGGATGCTCCCTGGAATTTCTCCGAGGATTGCCGGAAATCTTTTGAAACACTCAAGAAAGCCTTCACTACCGCTCCGGTGCTTACGCACTGGATGCCGGATGTTCCTATCGTCGTTGAGACGGACGCTTCTGACTACGCTATCGCCGGAATACTTTCTATAGTATGTCCGGACCAGGAGCTCCGCCCGGTTGCTTTTTACTCCCGGACCCTTTCGGCTCCGGAACTCAACTATGACACCCATGATAAGGAACTTCTAGCTATCTACGAAGCTTTCCGGTCCTGGCGACACTACCTTGAAGGCTCTGCCGAGCCGATAGACGTCGTCACGGATCACAAGAACCTTGAGTACTTCGCTACCACAAAACTCCTCACCCGCCGCCAGGCCCGCTGGTCGGAATACCTTCACCAGTTCAACCTCATTATCCGTTTCCGACCCGGAAAACTCGGAGCTAAGCCCGACTGCCTAACTAGACGTTGGGACGTCTACCCCAAAGAGGGGGATAAGGACTACGCTCAAGTTAATCCACACAACCTCCGGCCAATATTTACCACAGAACAGCTCGCTTCGTCCCTCCGGGCATCACACCTAGCAATTCCGGTGCTCCGGACAGCTGTACTGATGGATGTCGAGCAGCTTCATAAGGACATTCTGTCCGCCCTCCCTAATAACCCTATTGCTTCCTGTCATCTTCCAGATCCGTCGGACCCGAGATGGACAGTGGACGAGAGTGGTTTCCTCCGTTGCGACAACCGTATATACGTTCCAGAATCCAATGACCTCCGTCTCCGAGTGCTCCGGAATACGCACGACCACCCGCTATCCGGACATTTCGGTCAGAACCGGACCCTGGAAGTTATCCGTCGGGAATATACCTGGCCCGGAATCCGCGCATATGTGAAGGACTATGTTAAGTCCTGCACGACCTGCGCCCGAGCTAAAGTTCCGCGACACAAACCATACGGATTATTGGAACAACTTCCCATTCCCGAGAAACCGTGGAATTCTATATCCATGGACTTCATCGAACAACTCCCTGATTCCTCCGGCTTCACAGCCATCCTGGTAGTCATAGATCGACTATCCAAGCAATCCATATTCATTCCGACCTACGACACCATCACCTCTCCGGACCTCGCCCGGTTATTCCTCCTCCATGTGTTTTCCAAGCACGGAGTTCGTTTCCCACTTCTTCCGGTCGCTCGGAAAAGCGTTAGATATGATCCTCCATTTCACCTCCGGATATCATCCGGAAGGTGACGGACAAACCGAGCGAGCTAACCAAACCCTAGAACAATACCTCCGGATCTACTGCAACTATCAGCAGGATAATTGGTCGGAACTGTTACCCTTGGCCGAATTTGCTTACAACAATGCTCCTAGTGCTACTACCGGAGTTTCACCATTCTTCGCCAATAAGGGTTATCACCCGAACATTTCCATACATCCGGAGCGTGATCTTTCCTCCGCCCGCGCCCGGGATTATGCTATAGATTTAGATGAGCTTCACCAATTCCTCCGAGAAGAAATGTCCCTTGCCCAAGCAAGATATCAAGGACCCGCGGACGCTAGACGGAAACCCGCTCCGGACTTCAAAGTCGGAGATCAGGTCTTCGTCAAAGCAAAATATTTCCGCTCGACCCGACCATCGAAAAAGCTCTCGGAAAAGAATCTCAGACCATTCGACATCATCGCTCGTCCCGGCACCCACTCCTTCACCATCCATCTTCCGGACGCTATGCGATCCGTGCACCCCGTATTCCATGTCTCTCAGTTAGAACCCGCAACTCCGAACACTATCCCTAATCGCATCCAGTGCTCGTCCACTGATCTGTCGCGACAAACAAGACAGAACTGTAGGTAGATGTAGATAGTTGTGGTTAGTTGAAATGTTAAAGAAAAAGAACTTTGATTATGCACATTGTTATGATCTGTTCTCTCCTCCTCCTCAATCCTCACAGTCCCCACTTCTACCCTCGAAACGGTCAAAACGGCACCAGGTAGTTTGAGGGTGACACGAGGCGCATTACCACCAGTCGACTTCTTGCAGGTTTGTTTGGTCCGAGGGGGCATGGCATAGTCGTGGGTGCTGGGATCGCAGATGCTGATATGACGGCTGCTGCTGGGTAAACGCGAAAGGCAGAAACAATGGTAACAAGCTGAGAACAATGGTATAGTATTAGTATTGAGACTACAAATGGTAGATGTGCTGGACTTGCAAGTTCACAAATTTGCGACACAAACACATCCAAACAACAAACAATACCAAATAGACACGTGGTTCAAAGTTCAAAGTTCAAACGCACTGTTGACTTTGCTCTTTCCACCCATCTTCACACTACACACCTTTTCCTTTCTCATTATTCTATGATACACGCTAATTCTATGGTACCCTTTGGGTCCTTGCAGGGCTGCAGCCTGCAAGGATCCAAAGGATCTACCATAATGTCAACTTTCATGCGCAGTAAGTTTTTTCTTCGTTGTGTACTGTTTGCTAATGTTTATCTCTACAGCCACTTAGCATCTCCCACTCAATGGTAAGTCTTTTGCATAGTTCACCACTAGCTAATTTCGCTCTTTAGTTCTAGTGTTCTCTATATAGTGTGTCCTTCATTAGGTTCACTGTGCGCTGCTCAATGGTAAGTCTTTCATTGCGTTCACTACGGCGCTAATGTCTCTCTTTAGTTCTAGTGTTTTCTCTGGTGCGTCCTTCACTCCGTTCACTGTGCGCTAATGTTTCTCTCTCTCCAGTGTCTTATTTCATGTCTCTCCTGCGGCTAGATTCGGTGCGAGGATTTTTGCTCAATGGTAAGTCTTTCATTGTGTTCACTACAGCGCTAATGTCTCTTTATTTCTAGTGTTTTCTCTGGTGCGTCCTTCACTCCGTTCACTGTGTGCTAACATTTCTCTCTCTCCAGTGTCTTGTTTCATGTCTCTCCCACGGCTAGATTCGGTGCGAGGATTTTTGCTCAATGGTAAGTCTTTCATTGCGTTCACTACGGCGCTAATGTCTCTCTTTATTTCTAGTGTTTTCTTCTCTTTAGTTCTAGTGTTTCCTCTGGTGCGTCCTTCACTCCGTTCACTGTGCGCTAACATTTCTCTCTCTCCAGTGTCTTGTTTCATGTCTCTCCCACGGCTAGATTTGGTGCCAGGATTTTTGCTCAAGTCCGTGTTTCTTTCTGTTCACTGCCTACTAATCTCTCATTCTCTCTAGTATCTTTTGATGTCTCTCTGGTTCTGGGGGCTTATATCTGCGGTGCATACCACTTGTGAGTGGTTCCCACTGTTGAATCTGGGGGCTTCTATTTGCGGTGCATACCACTTGTGAGTGGCTCCTGCTCTTGATTATGAGGGCTTGCCTGTGGTGCATGCCATTTGTGTTCATGATGAGCGGTGATTTTTACTTATTCACACCTAAGTCACATCTGACTTAGAAATATTTCTAGTCTCACAAGACTTCGACGCAACATCAATTTCAGAAGCTCAGTGCCATATTTGATGTTGGGCAACATTTTTATCATCTGTAAGTGTGCATACTACTCAAAAACATTTCTCGCTGATAAATCTTACAGGACTTTGTCACAATATGACTTTGAAAGCTAAGTGCCTTGCTTTGATTATAACTATATCTCATTGTTCAGCAGGGTCGTAAATTTACTTTGTAGATTTTCTTCAGAGTGTATGGCTTCGGTGAGGAGGGGCCCCCTCATCGAAGTCGTGCACTTCCCTAATTTTTTCTTCATGTGGTTTGCGTTATGAAAGTCTTAGTAATTGAATGTTTATGTACTACTTTGTCCTGCTATACATGTCTCGAAGATGCTCATTTTTGCCGCTGTGAAAAGTCACGTGACCGTGGAAATATTCCTTTAAAGGAAACAAGGTATCGTCCTATGAATTGGATCTGGGCTATGATGACATCTGAGTAGTATAAGGTCCAATGTTAACATCAGTATTCTGTGTTTTGAGTAGTATACTCAATATATGATAGCATCTTATAGAGGCTAGGTGTGATAAAGCTGACAACAATCATTGTTGAGATCAAGGCTGGAAAAGATGATGGTTCAAAGCTGACAATGATAATTTGCACACTTGACTTGATCACTCAAGGATCTCTCTTGACATGGAATCTAAGCGTGAGACTATATCTGATGGTTGTTCACAATTTTGTGCGGTCATAATCAAATGGTAAAATGGTTTCAACATTTTACCATTTGATTATGACCGCACAAAATTGTGAACAACCATCAGATATAGTCTCACGCTTAGATTCCATGTCAAGAGAGATCCTTGAGTGATCAAGTCAAGTGTGCAAATTATCATTGTCAGCTTTGAACCATCATCTTTTCCAGCCTTGATCTCAACAATGATTGTTGTCAGCTTTATCACACCTAGCCTCTACAAGATGCTATCATATATTGATCAGTCTCTCCTTACTTTACTCAAGAAGCTTGGTGATTGAACTCATGGGGTTACGACTCATTTGAGTCTAAATGAAATTCGAGTCAACTCCGAGTCGGATCAAATTCATCAAACCTAATTCAGATCAAATATTAATATGAAATTTTTGAGCCAAGGAACCAGGTTGAACCAATTCACTGTCCACTGTAGTCCAAGTTGCTCCTTTTGCCTTATATCTCTAAAATATATATACCCTTGAAGGCACTCTATCATTGCAGTCTTTGCATATTATTCAGTCTCTCCTTACCTTACTCAAGAAGCCACTTGTGGGTTAATGACTCATTTGAGTTCAAATGAAATTCGGGTCAACTCCGAGTCGGATCAAATTCATCAAACCTAATTCGGATCAAATTTTAATTTGAAATTTTTGAGCCAAGGAACCAGGTTGAACCAATTCATCGTCCACTGTAGTCCAAGTTAATTGTGTCATGGACTCATTAGGGCCTGAGTCAAGAAACCTTCATGCCTTGCTGAGTTCAGAGATCAAGCAAATAATGAAGGAAGCTTCTGCAGTGCCTGTCTTCAAAGGTGGTGTTCTCCAATCTCATCTACTGCAAAAGGCATGGTATGTGTACTTATCTGTCTATTATGATGGCAGTAGCTAATAGACAAAGTATGAGGATTCGGTTGCAACTGAATGCTTGTTTGTCAGCAGAGCCAGCAGGTCATGGTTGTGATCTAGTGACAGAATATGAAATACATTGTGCATCCTTGACTATGAGCCCCTTCAGTGACAAATTCCGTATTATACGGGCCACCCGACCTACATAATATCCCATATGAGACGGGCCAGCGGATTATGGGCCCATGTTGTGTATATTCTCGATGATGACGGATGGGCCGGGACACATATTATTTCCGATGGAGACGGGTGGGCCCATGTATGCCAATGATATATATATCCTTGATGTTGATGGATGGGCCAGGGGAATATGATCATTCATGGAGATGGGTGGGCCCATCAGGGTAATATGTAGAGTAGGATATTATAGACAGCTGGGCTGAAGAGAGATGTAAGGCAAATATTGTTATATAGACGGGCGGGCCGACGGGGGTGTATTACATATATGGGTGGGCCGAGGTAGGGGAATATTACATAGATGGGTGGGCTGACGCGGGGTGTATTACATATACAGGTGGGCCGACATAAAAAGTATTACATATACGGGTGGGCCGACGAAAGGAATATCAAATAGACGGGTGGGCCGAGGGTGTGATAAAATATTTATTACATAGACAGGTGGGCCAAGGTGGGGTATAATTATATAGACAGGTGGGCCGACATAGTATGTATTATATAGACAGGTGGGCCAACATAGGATGTATTACATAGACGGGTGGGCCGATGTGGGGGATAATACATAGATGGGTGGGCTGATGTGGGGGAATTGTACATAGATGGGTACATATATGGGTGAGCCTAGATACGTATAAATGTCACATTTTCAGTGCAAAACCCCAAACCGAGATTTACCAACCCCTGAACCCTGAAATTGTGGACTGCCGGGTCTCAGGTTTCGGGGTTCGGGGGTCGCGGAACTCGGAACTCGGTATGTGAGACAACAAAAATATATTTCAAACATGGGTAAGTCAATGTGTTTGTCAATCAACTCGATTGTAAATTATATTTTATTAATTTTCCAAGTTCCGAGTTCCGAGCTCTGGGACCCCCGAACCCCAAAACCCGACAGTCCACAATTTCGGGGTTCGGGAGTTGGTAAAATGTGTATGGATAGATGAAAGGTTGATTCAAACATTTTTGAAAGATGTCCCATATGAAATGTTAAGTCCCGAGTTTTGAACTCCGGGTTTCGGGACTTCGGGCTTTGGGACTCGGCACTCCAGAAACCCGGAAATCGAAACTTGGGACTTGACATTTCATATGGGACATCTTTCAAAAATGTTTAAATTAACCTTTCATCTATCCATACACATTTTACCAACTCCCGAACCCCGAAATTGTGGACTGTCAGGTTTCGGGGTTCGGGGGTCCCAGAGCTCGGAACTCGGAACTTGGGAAATTAATAAAATATAATTTACAATCGAGTTGATTGACAAACACATTGACTTACCCATGTTTGAAATATATTTTTGTTGTCTCACATACCGAGTTCCGAGTTCCGGGACCCCCGAACCCCGAAACCCGGGACCCGGCAGTCCACAATTTCGGGGTTCGGGGGTTGGTAAAATGTTTATGGATATATGAAAGGTTGATTCAAACATGTTTCAAAGATGTCTTTCATCTCAAAAATTGATGCCGAGTTCCGGGTAAGACATCTTTCAAACATGTTTGAATCAACCTTTGTATATCCATAGACATTTTACCACCCCCGAACCCCGAAATTGTGGACTGCCGGGTCTCGGGTTTCGGGTTTCGGGGTTCGGGGGTCCCGGAACTCGGGACTCGATATGTGAGACGACATATCTTTCAAAAGTTTGTAAATCAATTTGTTTGTAAATCAAATTTATTGTAGATCAAATTTTATTAATCTCCCCAAATTTCCCAAGTCCCGAGCACCGACCCCCGACCCCCGAGACTCGGCAGTCCACAATTTCGGGGTTCAGGAGTTGGTAAAATGTTTATGGATACACGAAAGGTTGATTCAAACATGTTTGAAAAATGTCTTTCATCTCAAAAATCGAGTCCCAAGTTCCGGGTTAGTGCCGAAGCTTGAAACTTGAAATCAGTGGAAAATGAAATCTCGCAACAATGTACACATGAAGATGTTTCATTTCCTTTGACAATTCACCAAGTGTCTTGTACTAACCTGACAACACAGTCTGGGCTTCAGGCTTCAGGGCTCGGTACACGACACTCTGTTACGACAAAGCAGTCGTGTGCGACTTGGATGGTTCTAACAGCGACAACTACGATAGTAGTATCAAGTGCTGAGAGTCGTCGGCCTCTGGAGATAACCAAAGGTTGCGTACGCTGGCGTAGCTTGCTGTATGACGAGGGTATGAGGCTCGTCGATGAGCAAGGGGTTACGTAGCGATGATAGCGAAGCTATGTCGAGCAGGTAGCTTTAGCAGGACAGGGAGTACAAGGGAAAACCAAGTAAGATTAAAGTAAGGAACATCTACTTTAATCCTCGTCCTTATATAAGGCTACTCTATCGTATCTAAGCTCAGCTTGAAGCTGGGTTCTAATCTGCTTATCTATCGAGTCAGAGATACCATGCATGAGGCAGGCTTCTATCTAAGATAGGACCACGAGGTGTCCTTCTATCAGTACATGAGGCAACACGAGGCTTGCCTTCTATCTTGATAACATAAATAGGTCTTCTAGACCTATGTCGTCATATGCGTCGTCATCGTGTCGTCAGCAGTCCAGACTGCTTACTAAGCCGGCAGTTGCCGCTTATCTTCTTCTATCATCTATGGCTTACAAGCCCGGTTATCGTCTATGGTCTCCGAGGTCTCTGGGTTCGGGTACGTGTCGCTGCCTTCGCAAGGCAGGCAGGGGTGGCAGAGGGGACAGTGTAGTTCACTGTAACACACTCGGGGAATTGTGAAATTTCTATTTTCTTGGACATTTCACTGAGTTCCGAGTTCCGGGCGCCGAATTCCGAGTTCCGAGCGCCGAGCTCCGAGTGCCGAGTGCTGAAGCTCAAAACTTGAAATCAGTGGAAAACAAAATCTTGCAACAATGTACACATGAAAATGTTTTATTTCCTTTGACAATTCACTGAGTGTCTTGTACTAACTCAGGGAATTGTGAAATTTCTATTTCCTTAGACATTTCACTGAGTTCCGAGTTCCGAGTTCCGAGTTCCGAGTTCCGAGTTCCGAGTTCCGAGTTCCGAGTGCCGGATGCTGAGTGCTGAAGCTTGGAACTTGAAATCAGTGGAAAACAAAATCTCGCGACAATGTACACATGAAAATGTTTCATTTCCTTTGACAATTCACCGAGTGTCTTGTACTAACCTGACAACACAGTCCGGGCTTCAGGCTTTGGGTTTCGGGGCTCGGTACATGACACTCGGGGAATTGTTTATGGAAATGAAACATGTTCATGTGTACATTGTTGTGAGATTTCATTTTCCACCAATTTCAAGTTTCAAGCTTCGGCACTCAGCCACTGGTCGGTAGTCAATATAGGCAAATGGTAATGAAAAATGAAAGTTGTTATTACGCTTAACTTCCTTACCGAAGGTTGTAGTCCGAGTCTAGGGGAGTGTATTGGTAGTCTTTTCTTGTCCATCAGTTATCATTTAACCGAGATATAAGCTAAAGAAATCTGAAACATCGGCAATAATGAAAAATGAAAGTTATTATTATGTTTAAGTTCCTGAACAAAA